ACACACACCCCACGTTCAAGGGGTTTGAGCTGTTAGATCACTTTCGTGTTTTGTTAGATGCAGTGCAGAGAAAAAAAAAACGCAGCATGCTGTACTACTGTCAGTGTTGAGAGGTCCATCTAAGTCTGCAGCAGAATGGTTTTTCCCACCAATCTAAATTCTGTTCTGTACAATCTATTTTTAACTATTAGTATAAATCTACTAGCTAGCTTACATTTTGTATAAATACGGAGGAAGAAAAAGGTGAAACTATTGCAAATAAAGTAACAGCTGAAATCTGGGATAACTGCCAAAGAGGTCAATTAAATAGACATAGAATAGTTAACAAAAGTTATTTCCATTTCACAGCTGCCTTTAAATGAGAGAGAGAGAGAGAGAGAGAGAGACCAAGAGACCAAGACAGAGAGAGAGGCCTGTATTGCATTTTGATCCATGCTATACCTGACAGTCGAGCTTTCAAAATGCCTATAATCAGCTTTGTAGTGGAAGGATCTGCCCTATTTCTATAGGGATTATAGCATGTGCCAGTCTTCTCTTATTTTGATCTTATTTTTGCCCAATACTGATCATGTCATAAATCTTGCTTCTGATCCAGTCGTTATTTCAAGATTAGCAGCCTTGACTGTTAGCAATAAAATGTGTGCTAGCACTTTTGATGTCATCTGCTCAATCGACACTGATTGTACAAAACAATTTTCAGGTGACCAGTAAGCAATAAATGAGTACTAAATATTAGCCAGATCACTGCAACACCAAGAAATGTGCTGAAGGGCGAAGGGAAATTTTATAAAATACAACTGCATGTATTAAATTGACTAAGTAATATCTTGGTTTACTGGTATCTAGTTGCTAAGAGGATGTCTTTTAAGGTTAAGTGAAAGGGCATATGAAATTTTATCTCGCTATATTTCAAGAATAGTGTTGCCCCTGCTCCCACAGTAGTTGAAAATAGGAAAGTTGGGCTAAAGCTTTCTTCTCGAGTATAGAAAACAAGTTTTCTTTTGTTATATAAAACATCATCAGTGTTGCCCGAGCTCTGTCCTTTCTCATGCCTGTTGAAGTAGGCCTCCTCTCCCAGTCTGATCACCTAAGAACCTGCATTTATGCTCATGAGCTAAGCCTTGAGTTTTAATCACAGACCACTGCATGTTCTATGGTAATAATGACCCCATGTGGGGGAAGGTAATGTGTCATACATTCAAATACTAGCCTTTAGATTTCTAATTCAGTCTTTAAGCTAATAGTATCTTCTCCATCAAAAAGGAATGTAAAAAAAAAAGAAACCACCGTATGACTCTTCCTTCAGTCCTGTGCATTTCAATACAAGAGTTTACTCTTCTCACTATCTGATTTACATTTTAAAATGAATTTGTCATCAATTTATACCATGCCACTGTCATACAAGATAATTATACTGCTGGTAATCACAGGATGTCCTTCATATAAAGCCAAATGCTTCCCAAATTAGACAGATCCAGGCATCTCATCATTGGCCGCCTTAAAGCCGAGTTGTGCATCTCTTCAGTGAGCTAGTCCAAAGGATTTCCAGGCTCTCTAATTTGGGTAAATATTCAATATGGCTTCTTAACAACGGTCTTCAGGCTTTAAAAGACCAGCTTTCGCTAGAAAAGCTTTTTTCTTGGTTTAAGAGCCCACTGCTACAGCTGGTAGCCTGCATGTTGGATCTGTACTCCCCTCTGTTCCCGTTCAGTCTTTCCGCTGCTTGCAAGTGAGTTGGGCATAGCCAGACAGGCAGCAAGCTGATAATCTTGCTTAGCCCGTGACCACGTGGCTCCCACTACAGCCCTGCCCGGTTGTCTCAACTCTGGCAACTGGCCTACTGCACTACAGAAGGAGAGAGAGCGAGCACTTCTTTGATCTCATCTACTAGATTCTGTGCTTTCTTTGAAGCACTTTACTATCATCTATCTGCAGTTTTTGTTTTGTTTTGTTTTTTAAACAAATGTAAGTCAGCGTGCGGTCTTCCAGAGTCTGCAGGCTTCCCCTTGCACATTTGTTGCTTACAGCTTTCTAGACAGCTGCCGTGTGAAATGGGGACTCTTGGAAAGCATAAAATAAGATGTGCAAGGTGGGAGGCTACGGGCTATGAAAAAGTGAAAAACCACCTTTGGCAGAGACAAATGGGAGAAGGAGGATTCAGGCTTGCATGGCTGTCAGACAGAACTCCCATTTAGACAGTGCTTATAATAACAAAAAAGTGTGGGAGGGGGACAACACCTGAGTACTGGTTTGGTTTAAATTTTAGCAATCCTAGCAAAATCACTAGAGCAGGTACAACTAGTCCACTAGACTTCTCTGTTGGGAAAAAGGAGAGCAGAGGATGGACAACTGGTACTGCATTCCAATTAGAAATTGTAGATGTTTCTAATGTAAATCCATATTGGCCACAGGCTAAAAGTGTAACTTAAAAAAAAGTTCTCTTACAGCAAAATGTAAGAATTTAAGGCATGAGAGTGCGATTACGCTGAGATATAAAACATTTTTTTTTTGTAAGCAAGTAGGTAATTATTAAAAGAACAAACAAGCCACACACACTAACCTGTAACTTGAATATAATACTCCATGTAATGACTTATGCAGAGCTTTGGCAAATAAAATACCACGTGACCAGCTATTGTATTAAAGATACAAATGTGAGTTAAGGAAAATTTAATGCCACATGGCTACAGTGCGGTTCAGTAAGCAAACACCTTTGCCTGTGAGACTACAAAAGGGTGTAATAGAATAGACCAGTGTTTTGATGTTGCCCCCACCAATATATATGCATATATATGTATTTTAAAAAAAACACTATCAAAATGTAAACAGTGACACTTTACTAATAACTTTAAAGTATAAAAGGGATTTAGTCTTGTTGGTTTTATTGTACTGCTCATGAAAGTTTTAGTAGTACTGAACAGCTGCACTAGTCGATTTGCACAAAACAACTGTTCAGCAGTAACCAATAGGTGATCGTTACTAGGGTCCTGTAGTTTGAGCAAGTTAATGAGTGTCCTGAGAGAAACTGGAATGTGCTGCTTACACATGAACATCTAAATGCAGTTTAAAAAAAAACAAAACAATATGCTGCTTTTTTTTTTTTTTTAAAAAACAGCTGCTTACTTGTGTACTACGTTGATAAATAAAAATATCTGAAAAGTGTCTTACCTACAGTCACAATTTTCAGTGGCATAGTACCAGTTAAAGTCATTGAATGAAACAGGGCTTTTTTGAAGCCTTATAAATTGCAGTCATGTAATGCTCAAGGGAATTGCTTTGTACATAGCTCACCTGACCTATTTTAACCTTTGGGCTGCCATAACACGCGTGCGTGCGTGTGTATGTAGTAGGGCAATAATATATGTTATTTTTACAGTTTAATCACAATGAATTTGTGCTGTAAAATGTGACTAACAGCAAAATCATTAAGCAGTTACTTTATGTAGAAACTAGATACAAAATTCTTTGGTCTACTACAAAACATTCATGACATCAGTGCATTTTCTTTCAGGTCCACTTATGATGCTACTGCTGCAACAATACTCAGACTGTTGCGTACTTTATAAACATAAAGCATAGTTTACCTCCCTGTACATTGATCTTGTTAGGACTCCACCAACCAGCACATTCTGATTTAGTCATAATCGGCAATACTGGAAGGAAGTTAAATCCTCCAATCAGAAAATTAAGGAAGCATTAACAAGGGTGGTGAAGGACATGGGCATTATTCAGTAAAGTGAACGGCAAAGTTACCCAATAGAGCATAAAGGAGCAAAAGCCTAGTTTCCAAATCTGTTAAGCCTTTCAGTAGAAGCAGCTTACTAGGGAAAATATAAAATTCTCTTACTAGGAAAGCCCCCATTCAACAAAAGGATTCCCTAAGTCAATTATAGGTCAATTTATAAAAGGGCCAACAAATTTGTGTCAGAGAGTTTCTTTTATTATTATAATTTGGCATATTCAAATATTTTGCGATTAAGAGACTCAATGTCTACTGTCACTCTGGAAAATATAGTTACCATAAGTGCCTTCTCTAAGTATTAACAAAAAATACACAGTATCGTATAATGTCTTATATTTAATCTAAATTTTTTCTATCCTAAATGTGGCATTTTCCTTCTCTGCTTAGAATATTACCGATTCATTTTTCCTCAGTTAAATTTCCCATCACCCTCTTTTTAAAAATGGGTGTTCACATCAGTGCATTTAAGCTCAATCATTAAAATGACTCCTGTCATCTCCCAGATTAATTGATACTTGCACTTTTGTCTAGGCTTTAGAGTAACATGGAAACTTTCATTTGTTGATAACTTCTGCACTACTTTCTTGTATTTATAGTAGTGTCCCTCACTTGTAAATAGTAATGATTGACTATTGTCTGCTGAATTCATCACACACACACGCACATGCACGCACAAGAAAAGGTGATTTGACCTGCATATTGGTTGGTCTCAATTGCGATAGAAGAAGTTGTCTGATAAAACTATGAAAGTTGCTGCAGTTTCAGAAATGCAAGTTTTCAGAAGACTGGCTACTTAAATAGGTATGTAGTACTGAAGGTATTTTATTAACCCAAATCCAAGTTCTGAGGAAGTTCTGTAAGTAGCTTGCTGTAGCCAAGATTCCCACAGCAGAGTTGCTTGTCGTTCCTGTTACGCTCTCCAACAGAAAGAGGTCTGTGGGGAAATCTGTACCAAGCTTCCCTATGCTGTGCCTTTCAGTTACCTGGTTTTCATGGATATACATTTACTTACTTACTTAAAGTGTTTTGAGGATCCTCCAACATGGATTATGGTAAGTACATAGTGCAATACTAAGAGAACCTAGAACATTTTTTTTTCTTGCATAACTGTTACTGAAGTTAGCTTTCTTTTTCATCCTCTGTTTCTTAACTGCATTAAGGCTTAGCACCAAAATACTTCTTTTTTTTAAAAGGGGCGTATTAATGAGTGCTGCAATTTGGAAAGCATAAAAACAGCCACTTTTTTTTTTTTTTGTAGTGAATGAGATCATAGGAAGAGATATGTCACAGATCTCAGTGTCACATGGAACAACAGTGGCCAGCCAGTCTCCACGTACATGCCCTGGATCGCTGGAGACAGGAATATCTGATGGAATCCAGTAACAGATAAGCTTACAACTAAGCATCCATGAAAGCTTCACAACTTCTCTGAATATTACTTCATCCTCTTCCTCTTTAGACTTACTGTGCTTCCAACTCTGTGGCCTTTATGAACTGGAACAGTGGATCCTTGCATAGCCCTTTTAGCGGGTTACATTTTTGATGTAGAGACAGAGCATTTATAATGATAGTTCCTCAGATGCTGTAAAGTGACTTCTTAAAACGGACACACAGAATCTACACCAGATATTTTAACTGTTCAAAAGCTACAAACAAGCTTTGCTTTTTTTGCATTTAACTAGAATACTTTTATATTGTAAGTGCTTCAAATGTGTGAAGATGTTAGTTTGCTCTTATAATATTCACAGTACTGAACGTGAAAAAAGATTTAATACACATCTTCAGTGTGCTGCTTTCCCTTAGAGGTAGTATAGTTGTAACTAATGATTTGTAACACCTTTTGGTCATTTTGGAAAGCCTTTAAGCTTATATTGTTTAAAATGTTTTAAAAAAGATCTTCCAGAGGCAAATCATACCCGTCATCTGAAGCCAATGCCATGGAAGCCATTGTGTATACAAATACTTTAGTGTTTTCTCTCTTAGATTCATAGGAAGCAAAGCCAAATGTAGATCTGCACTTGTTTATAAACTGAAAATGTTACTTGATAGGCTGCAAAAAGACCATTCCATCATGGAAGTGTTGGGATAGAAGTGACATTCCAAAATTTAACTTTTATAACTTTGTGGATAATCTTCCTGTACTTTATTAGCACAGGCTCCTTCTTGAAATAGCTTTTCTTAGAAAGTTACATTTATACTCAAATTTGAGAACTAGGATTTTAGAGTAAAGAACTGCAATTTCAAAGCCATGTTAGATACAGAAGAAATTTAATATTTGCTGAGGATCTGAGTGTTCCTGTTATCACCACAGGATACTGTTTTGAAATTACCAATTCAGTGGCATTCAAATTTTCCATGCAATAAGTCATTTGGTCACATCTGTATCTTTTATGTGCTTTATGCCTGAACTATGCCACTTCAAAGTCCTAAGGAGATGACAATTACAGTTCCTTAAGTTTAAGCTGTTTATAAGATTTAGTCTGATAAAACATAATTTACTGTGAATTAGTGATTTAGTAGTATAATTTGCCCATGTTGAATAGTAAGTGTGTGAAGCAGAAGTTACCAAAGAAATGCACAAGATTCATGGCAGCAGTATACTTTGTGCTGTGTTCCAAGGATGCATTTCCCTTACCCACATAATCTGAGAATGTTTACAGAGTTAACAACAATCTCAGGCCTCTATGATTAGAAACCTAGGAGAGGATCTGCAGCTGCCTGTTTAGGCCAGAAACATCCCCCCCGACACACACACCCCCCGATCCTGCCTTGTCCCCCAAAGAAATTGTAGTTTACGAAGCTTTCTGATATGGTTCATACAGGGTACAACAACAATCACAGCAAAGTAAGATCAGAAATACACTGAACTTCAAATATTTAAGGTTTTTTTTAGTTCCTCATTTGGGCAAGTCGTGATGTTCTAATGCAAATATAGAGCAAACGCATTCAAAATTATCAAAACATAGAAAGGATAGTTGCATTAAAGTTAGTTCAGGCATTTGTGGATATTTTAATGGCTGAACATGTGAAGGATGTGCCTCTATTCTGTAGCAAAATGTTATAGACTTAAAATCACAGTGGAACATCTTAAAAGTGGACTCCATTAATGAATTATAAAACCTGTAAGAGTGAATATAGATTTCTAATGGTGCATTTTGGCAGACAATCATGGGGAAGCTTTACATGGAGCCTCTTGAAGACGAACGTTACACCTAAACTTAAGTCAGAGTCCAAGCAATACCATTAAAGTAGCTATAACGACACTTCTGTAATAGTTGAATCATTGACTTTTTAAAAGGCCATACATTACGTGGGTGAAATTAGAACTTGTTATGAATTACTTCCTTTTAAGAGTGCAACCTAAGGCTACTATCTAGGCAATTCATAGTTATTTCAGACAACTTAATGCTAGGCCACTATGTATGTGCTGGGAATCTAAGCATCCTTTTTGTGAATGTATTGTTCAATGGTGCAAATCTTTAAATCTGGGGAAAAAAAAAAAAAAGCAGGACTGTAATCCGAAGAGTGTGATATTGTAACTGTCCCTCAGTGATGGTGCTTTACTCTGTCCTCTACTCATTTACGTTAAAGATCCTAGAAAAGGGTTGACGTGTTCAGAAATACATCTACTTATGTTTTTAACACTTTTTAAAAAAAAGCAAAACAAAAAAAGGCAAAAAACACTGTAAGATATGTAATTGTCTTCAGACTGTGTGCTGGTGGCAAGGTATGTCCCAGTTTTCATTCATGTACCCGGTCTTTTGCATTAACCATTGTTTGTAGGAGAATTCTAACTTCAAAGCTTTTCATACTGTATGGGATTTATGCTCCTTTATCCTGCTGGTACAGACTTCTCCTTGCAAGTTCTCCAAGTAAGTAGCTGGAATTCATACTGTACCTAAAATATAGGAGCCCAAACAATCCAGAGTTGCTATGCACTAAACTTTCTGATGCCTTTAAGTACCTTGATGCCTGTAGACATAGAGATGCTTTCCTATTTAAAAATGAAATTAAAAAAAATAGAGCTTTGGATACTAAAGCAGTTTTGTATTTGCCTTGTAAAAGCTTCAGTACAAGGGTCTTAATTTTATTTTAGCTTGTGTGATAACGTAGGTGAAAGACTGTTAATCTTGTATAATTTTAGTGGTATAAAAAGCACACAATCTCTATTGGACTATGCAAATTTTATTAAACAACAGAACCCTGCAACTGTTGATATTTGGTTGGCATCCACTTTCTTGCCCTTAAGTCCTTTCTCCTCCTTGAGCCCTCTTCCAAAACTTACTGCTAATTTAGGTTATAAACCTGAAGGAAAGCCTTAATGATGCGGTAGCTTCTCTGTAAGGCTATAGATCAATGTTAAAAACAAAAATTAAGGGGTAGTAGAGTAAACCATGGAGCAAAAAAAGTTTTAATTTCTGAAATTACCATAAACTAGCAATCTGAATTTCCATAGTAAAACTTTCATATGTTATCAGTGGAACTGCCATCTTTTTTTAAACCAAAGAATGAAGAGAACGTGACAGTTTTGTTCTGATGCAAACAAAGCTTTGAAACTCTATTTTTGATACTCACAATGGATGTCATTCCTTGAGGTTTGGAAATCGTTCAAATTGAAGTTTTATATTTAAAAATATGGGACAATAAAGATTAAGTTCTAGATGTTTACAGAGCCTTGTATTGTAATTTCATGTACATTTTGTATTTTAAACTTTTTTTTGTAAGTTATGATTGCAGTGCTACTTGCAGAAATAAAGGGAAGAACTTGCATTTTTAGGCTCTTAAATCATAGTGTTGAAATAAATAAAAAGAATGCAAATTTGTTGTCATTTATTGAAAATAAAGCCCCAGATGGAGAGTAGGAAGAAAGTCTGTATTTGTGATGCAGTGGTAAACAGCTACGCTGAGGTGTGACGTAAAGTTAGGAAATGTAGGACTCTTCAGATTCTCCCTAGAAGAGTAGGCCCTTTGAGCCAATATTATAAGAGATTGGGGCTCAGCTGCGAGCCAACAACAGTAAGCCTAGACATAGTTAATGAGTGATCAGCAGTGCTGACAGAGTATCAGTCTGCACAATTAGTAGTGATTTGCCATTTGCAAATGAGATTGTTTCAGTTGGACTGTCACAGATTATTTCAAGAATTATTATTATTACACAGGGAGGCATCATAAATAGTAATCTTCATTCTTGAAAGGGTATAATCACGGGCATAATGCAATTAAACTGTTTCGGAAATAGATTCAGAATTCCTACAGCCAAAATCCTAATTATTTACCAAAGCCTGGCTAATCAAGCAGTACTGAGGGAAACACCTTCAGGAACAGCACTGTGGATTCAGGCCTTAAAGTCTAAAGCCCATCTTGGTGATACTAGTGACACTGAAAAGATTTTTCTCTCTCTTGTAGGTAGAAGACTCAGTAATTGAACTGTCTATGAAACCTCTAGGTGTATTAAGCTGTATGACTGCTCCACATTCTAAGTTTCGGTGAAAGCTCTGGCCTTTGGTTAGCAATGCCACACCTGCCCAAGGGAGGGAAGGGGCACAGATCACAGCAATCTCCTACTCACGTTGCAGTGAGACCATGGGCCAGTTTAGGATTAGTGTCATACTCGCAACATATGTCCTGACGAGATTACCTTCACTGATGGATTCCAGCTATAAATATAACAGAAAGGGGTAGCTACAGTGCCCATAACTGAATGCAAAGTAATTATATCTGAGGTTTACTAAATAAAGCACTAGGAACCTGAAAGCTATTCCTCGTTTTCTAGTATCATTAGCAGCTATGTAATTCACATATAACACCACTAGTAATAATCCATGGACTGATTGCATATACTTTACTGTCAATTCAAGTCTTCTTTCATTTACAAATAGGCTGAAGGCTGATTGACTAACATTGAAAGGATAGGACAGATGATAGGATATGCACTTAAGCCAAGGCATTTAAAGTTGAGCATGGTTAACCCTGAGCACTTACACTGACAGCCCCATCTGTTGTACTGCAGAGACTGCAGAGAGGCGGTAGGTAGCTTTTTTTTTTATTTTATTTTTTTATTTTTTTATTCCCGGCGTTGTGAAAAATACCACGTGTAACTTTTAAAACACTGTTTTGTAATTTCACATAAAGGGAGAGAAGGACTGTCCTGTTAAAGTGAAGTCCTTTAGCAGAGTAATCAGAAGTTTCTATGCTTTTAGGATCCAAACCAGGAGGGAGTGCTGAAAGAAATCAAGGCCTCTCAGTTCTCCTACTTGTAGCTAGTGACTTCTTATAGTATTCCACAGCAATACTTCTGCTCTGTCAATCCCTCTGCTTGCCTATGGACCTTTATCCCTCTCCCTACCTCCCTCCCAGCCTAACTCAAATACCGCTGTGTGCTTTGACTCCAAAAAACTTTCTCAATCCTCACCTAATTCATTACGATAGAGCTTTTCTCCACATACTTCCCTCCCCCCCTTCCCTTTCTTAGCTTTAATTCAGTAACCAGAATAATATTCAGGAACTAGCCACTGTTGTAGTGATTAAAGTATTAAGCGATCTAAAAGACCATGGAAGGGTTCAATCAAATACATCAACATCGAAAAGAAAAAGAATTTCTTGTACGTTTAAATTCATAGATGGGTTTGTGTATGGGCTTGTCTGGTAGCCCTGAGCCTTATTTTGCCTACTAAAAAGAGTGAGGCTTATCAGTCATTCTCATCACCCCCAAAGCATTGTCATTTGCTGAGATTCTCTAAGAAGCAAGGAATTATTTTATAATACCCTACTGTTGCCTTTGTTACCAATAGTATCTGCTTTCTCTCTCTATATATATATAAATATATATATATATATAAAAGAGAGAAGAAGGAAAAAAAACTAGCAAGCCTAGAAGATATGATCCTAAGTGAAACAGGAGTTTAAAAAAAAAAAGTATACTTGTTTTACAAATACGTGTATGTACCATGAATTTTGTTTTACAAAAGACTGATATGCTCGAAAAAGCAAGCTTTACACAATCCCCTTGCAGCTAAAGCAAAGTTCTCCCAGCTGCTTCAGCAGATTTTTGGGTATGGATTTTTTTTTTTTTTCCATTCCACTTTTTATTAAGATATATATATATTGCAATCATAAAACTCAAGCCTTTATGAGGAGACCAACTGATAAAATCCTGGTGGGCAAACAAGTAAAGAGCAACACTCTTAAGTCGCCATTTGGCTAGTCAGCAAGACTGTGTTTTGATGGAAGAGCAAAACCAACCCAATTAGGTTAACCAACCCAATCTTGTTAAAAATAGTTTTCACTACAGCTAGGAAGTGAACGTCTAGATCTTTCTGAGGGCCTCAGCACTTGCAGATTCATTTGAAGAGAATCTTGCCATTAAGATTTTCTTATAAAAAAGATTCAGCATGACAAAGCAAAGCAAAAAGGCAACTATATTGATGATAAACACTTCTGAATGCAGGAGCTATGTTATCTGTAAAGGTGGAATCAATGAAAGGGATACAAAGCACAGTCTGGAAGAAATCAGAAGGATGTACAGTATGAAAAATTGCTAAAGGGTAGATAGACTGATTCTCTAGGTAAGAGAGTGGAGAGCATGGGCTGAAAGGCCTGAAAATGATGCAAGAAGAAAGACTATCTGAAATGATTTAAACTCTTACTGACAGTGATGCAGAGTAGTTCTGATCAAAGAGGTCCTGCCCTTGCATCAAGAAGTTCAAGGCCAACAGATAACACGCTCTTCTCTGATGGTAATACAAATTACAACTAATTGACAATGAGTATTTGTACCCTGGATGCTCTGTTTTGTCGATCTTAGTAACCAGACTCCTGCTTAGTTTCTAGTTGTATCAATTCACTTCCATCCTCCCACTCACTCCTACTCCTTCCTATCACCTCAAGCATACAAGAAAAGCTACTGTCAGCTTTTTTCTTTTCTGTAACTTCTGATCAACACATGGTGTTGAAAAGTGATCGAGTCTTATGTACCTCAGGAGGACTCAGCGATTCCAAAAAAATAGTCTGGGAATGCAGTGTTGGATAATCAATCCATCAGTGGTATCACCTAAAATAAGCAGGAGGGGAAAAGGAGCAGCACCGATGACTTGGAAAGGTCTTTCTTTTAATACAAACCAGAGGAGACAAGGAAACACCTTGTGGGAAATCCTGTCAGTTGGGAAAGCCATTATTTCTAAAAAAGCAAGTAGCTCTGAACAATCAGTAAGCACGCTACACCTTAACAACTGTAGCATCTAGTACCAAACATACAAGTTCCTAAGCCAAACTTAATATACCAGTGCTTCTGCAGCCATGGCTGACACTAGCAAGAGTAAAGGTAGCATAGTGCTGGCTTTAACACCAGCCTTCAGGATTTAATCTGGTATTGAGCCTCCTTTAAGACAAGGCATGAAAGCTCAGGTTTACCTTCCTAAATTAATACAGCTTAGTACAAAAGACATGATGGAGTCTCTCTGCCAAGCTGGCAACAGCACTGCAAGAAATACACACAACACAGCTGAG